ATTCACCATCGTTACTTCCTCTGACCAATGGCATACAGCTAGTGTTCCTACCATCTCGTTGACAGATACAGCGAGTCTTCCGCACAGATGCCTGCTCTTCCCCTCTAATTAAGCGTGGTGCCATGTAGGAGTGCGTGCGGTTCTTTGCTAACTTCTTGGTTCACTAATGACTGTCACACTATACTGCCACAGATGTGAGTCTGTTTGGTGTGTGCTACTCGAGGCTGATCACTGACTGGATTCCTCAGGCCGGATTATGTTCGTCGTATGGAATTGGATAAATTTCGTGGTATATGCAATGCTGTGGGGTAAGCTTTGCACTTGCGAAAACCCGGTGATATTGACTTGACTCAAACATCTTGCAAGCCATCATCACCACTCGGTTGCATGCCATGTATCAACGATCCAAAAAGATCCTGATATTTCTCATTGTCACCTTCCTGGCTGTCAACATTTTCGATGGAGTGGTAATCATAATGACAACGACACGTGATTCAGAAGGTATGCTTAATCGTGGACGAAAAACGTGCATGGGGCTCATTGCTGAGCGCTGAATACCAGAGGAAGTCATTTTCTCCGGCACCTATCAGTGCTCGATTGGCATTCCGGAAGATGTCGCACTTCTGGATTTTATACCTTGGATACTGTCCACTGTGTCTCGCAGTCTTGATTGCAGTGAAACACTTCCGTGAACTGCGACGACATTCGGTAGGAGGGATTATGGGGAGCTGTTTTACGGTGTTGATCAAAACTCACATGCTTTACTTTGCGAGGTGAGCTCATATTATGAGTCAGACGTGGTAGCTTTGTTGCTGTTTCTTACTTCAGCATGATTCTTGATTTTTCTCTACCACTCTCAACGGTATCTCGATCTTTCACTTACCTCTGCATGCGAGTGTGGTTCATCATTCTTATGGGATCAATCTTCCCTAGGAACTCAGACTTGTTATGGCTTGCTCCAGACTTTGGAGGTCATCCAGACGTTGTGCTGGGACCACGCCTGATCGTTGGGGTTCGAGAATATCATGCCAAGCTCGTAGCCGACTATGACGCAGCAACTGGCATGACCTCAATTACTTTCCAAGAGCACGTGCATATATCGACTGACAATGGTGTATAGCGCGGGAGATGCTCGCTGGAGCTAACGGTTGTCTAGTGCTCTGCAGGGAGCAGCAGGAGAATTCGTTTTATTCATTCCCACTTTCGTCTTGGTATTGACTTAAGTTTGTGGTGTTGCGAAGTGGACCCTTGTAAAGGACATATAGGTCTGGGCAATTTTTTTCGTGGTAGTATTTATCCAAGTGAGTAACTATAGGCCCTTGTTTAAATCAATATACTTGGTTAGATATCCCTACTGCCCACCTACACTTACACCAACCACTGGTCCCTTTCTCTGTGTGATGACATCATCCCTATGATTGCTTGGGAGTCAAGCTGCGCAACACTGCTGCAGATCCTCGGCAATCTGTCCTCGATTCATCTTCTCGATGTCCCACCCTCGTCTTCTCACCTGACTCGCGCCAACTAGCTTACAGAAGATTCATGCAAGATGCTTACAAGATGCGCGAGGCACATCCGTGCATGCATAGCTTGATGATGCGAGACATACTGAATGAGTTTTGACGAGGTTAATGCTTGTGAAGGAGCTTGCCTTTTACTTTTTTGAGGAAATACCAACACGAACTTATACAAATTCTTTTAGGATTGTTAGTGAAGCGCTATTGGGGTATACCTGTACCCTATTAAACATCATGATAAGAAAGCTGTGAGCAAGCTTCCTGCGTCCTTTCTTTAGCTGAGACCCAGTCTGGGGAGTCAGAGGAATTTGAAAGAATCCAAGGTACTAACCTCTGAGCACCGCACACCAAACACAAAACGGCTTGTCGGCATGGTTCCAAACGGTGACACCAACGCACCCAGGAACGGACATGCAGACACCAGCACCAGCGAAAGTGCAGGAGTGGAGCATCTGCTGCTTGATGTCAGGTTGTCACCAGCAGAAAATTGTCTAGGGCTATATCTCTTTCGAATATATTTTGCAACATCGAATAAGTTACAAGTAAGTACCACGACAAAACTTGGCATAAACAAAAACAAAAACCGTTCTCTACAGACTACCTGCCGATCGTAAGTCATATCGAGCATCTCCCACGTTACACACTGCTGCTAGTTGACACATGAACGCGCTCCTGGAAAGAAATTGAAGTCATAGCGGTCGCTGTATCAGAGTCGGCCGGAAGCTTGATGTGATATTCTCGAATGCTACGGATGAGGAGTGGTCCCAGCACAAATACCTGCACAGGTCGGAAGATTTGAACGAAACCAGTATAAATCTGATTTCCAGGGAATTTCCATCCTATAGAGATGATGAACCATGACTGCATGTAGTGGTCGGCGACAGATCAGCATACCGTCCAGAGCATTGGAGAATAATGACCAATTTCAAGGAAGGAAACTATGACAAAGCTTGCACGTACAGAACTTCAGCAGAAAAACAAGAGAACCACATTCACATTATGAGCTCACCTCGCAAAGTAACTAACGTGAGTTTGCATTAACACCGTGAAACAGTCCCCGATGATACTTCTTGCCGAGCGTCGTCGCAGTTCACGGAAGTGCTTTACAGCAATCCAGGCTGCGAGACACAATGCAAGGACCTCCCACACAGTGGCAAGTACCCAAGTCATGGAAGCCAAAAATAGGGAATCTCCCGCATAGCTAATCATGCACTGATAGGTGCCGGAGAGAACGAGTTCCTCTGGTATTTGTCAATGAGCCTGATGCACTTGAACATTTCATACATGGTGAAAGCTTACCCCCTGAAATCTTCATTGTGATTATTGCGGACATCAATGCGATGACGATTCTGATGACCAAAAAGACGACAACGAGAAATATCAGCACCTTTCTGGATCGCTGATACATGGCATGTAACCGAGCGATGATGATGACTTGCATGATGTTTCAGTCAAGTCAACATCACGGAGGTGTATAGCTCACCGCCCAGTACTAAATCTACAACGTCACTCATCCAAACAAGTGCGTTATCTATCATAAGGCCTGTCAACCCAGCAACGTTAGTTATCAGCCTCAGAGGATCGCATGCTTGAAACAGACTCACAGCTGTGGAAATTGTTATATTAAACCAACCTATTGTTTGAGAATCTCACTCACCCCTACATGGTAGTTTTGTTTGGACGAAAATGGAAGGTATCAGTGTGGAATACTCACTACATCTGTCGTCGAAAATGTTGGAACAGCAGCTGTATTCCGTCAATCAGAAGAAACGAACACGGTGAATTGGGGGACACATACATAATATGTTGATCCTGATTGTGAGAGATGGGTAATGAGCGCAACACCAATTACTTAGCCTTCTAAACATACACAGCATAAAATATTCCACTATAGCGCACCTAGGATACTTTGAAGTCAGCTCAACTTGCTAAGCGCACTTGAAACACAGGTTACATACAATGAGATAGAGAACGGTCATCAGGGACCAGCGTTGCCTCTGCCGTGAATTAGTTGTGGTGTTCTCACGTTGTTCTTTTGATATGGGAGTACGCTTACCCAGATCAGCTCAACCTATAAAAACATTCTTAGCGAGATGGCTGCCCTAGTAATGGATGGACCTACCTCTTGTGCGAACGTGAGTGCTGGAAATACTAAGGATGTCAGTGGTTCTTTCACGCTTGGCCTTGCTCACCCCAATCGTAGATTACCACCCAACATAGGCGGCAACTGCAACATCGCAGCCAGGATAATTGAATCATCACGGACATCATGCGGCTGGCTCTCCACGAACCTATATAATAGCTGGAAATACGATATGAATAAATGTATGGCCACCAACTGGGATCATTCGAGACTAGGGTCATACTGTAAGAGAATTGAAGTGAGGGAGCGGGGGAACTTGGTGATCGCGATTCGTATTCGTACTCGATATACCACCATCCAGCGCTTGCAATCGCCAAAGTGAAATTTGAAATTTGATGAATGATATCTTATTAATGGAAATGTTTCAGATGATAGATTCAAGTATAAGAGGAAAGTGCATCCAAGGATATTGATGGGATCACGTACGCAGCAGCTGATAAATCCCAAAGCAGTGATTCATGCCGCGGCGGAATGTTCAAAACGCCGTAAAAGAATCAGAGAACTATTCGTGATTTTGGCAACGTGCTGGTGTGACTCATCTTCGAGGTGTTCGTGACAATATTGTGGGGTTCGGCTGCGGCCCATAAATAACGCTATGCATTAAGGCTCTAAACAGCGCCCAAGTCGACGGTCGTGGCAGACATTGTCTGTAATTACGACACGATCGAAGTGTGTAGCAACGAAGGCAGTCGTACAAAGAAAGTGGGAGGTTGCACAAGGTTGAAGGGCGGGCCGTTATACAAAGAAAGAACAATCAAGTATTAATGGAAGGCAGTAGGAACGAAAGCGATGATCATGACGAAGGGGCGATTGCCCGGGTTTAGCTTTCAGAGAATTTGCTTCTCACACTGAGCATTGCATCAGACATCCAATGATGGAACTCAGGTCGCCCACGCCTATGACCTAGACTGGTGACCAGCCCCTCTATGAGACAAACCCTCGATAGAGGGACTGGTAAATCTGGGTTTGAATTTGGATAGTGCGCGCTTTGGAGTAATCACATGACCTGTAGCCAATAAGAAAACTGAAATTTTCGACGTGAATATTTGAAATGTTGAAATTAATGTTTGATTCATATTGATGCGATGCAAACACGGTCGCGTCATTAATGTTATGTATCTACTCTAACAACTCCAATGGACGTGAACTCTATCATCCAAGCTGTGCGGGAAGCCTCGATGGAAAGACTAGATTCATTTGCTCGTTGGCTAATACAAGAACGGTAGGGTTAGGGGATAAAATTAATTGACGAATTATTAGCCTGCTTTTTAGCCAGGTGGCTCTTGGGGAGTTATTAACTAGCGGATTATTAGCCGCTTTTTAGCAAGTCACGTGACCTAGTTTTTAGCAGGCGAAAAGATAGCTAATAACCCTAGCTAATTAGCCAGCCGCTCATTCCCATGTTTCCGGCCACTCGTCATCGACGCTGTCATCCCCCTCGATCTCTTCAGCCTCGGCCTTGGCCTTTCCCTTGCCTTTCTGTGTGGCCACCAGGACTTGCCTCTGCCAATACTACCAACAACCCTCTGCACTCAAGTCTATCTCGGATTCGACATTGAAGTCAGCATCATTGCATGCGGTGGAACTCTCTCCCACATTGTCCAACCAAGAACTGGACTCGTCATCTTTCGATTTCTTCATCTCCCTCCAGCACTTTCGGTCGACAGCAAGCTGTTCCTTGGATCGTGGTGCTGTTTTGCCTACTTTCGCTCCAGACCCAAACAGTTGGGCGTCGAGGTCATAAAATTGATGGTCGGACGCTCTGGATGTTTGGGACTATGCTTGCGTGAGTATGAGCCAAAAAAAGTCGGATTTACTTACAGCAGAATCATACATGTACCATTGCCGTATTTGCGTCATGTTCACAAGTGTACTGACATTTTGACGATTTCGCAGCGCAGAATTCATCCGCGTGAATACTGACATTGTACGCTCTTCTGGCATTGAGCTCGGTCGGACGGAAAACACCTTGACAGCGAGGGTCTTTACTGGAGTGAGTGAACCAGTTCATGTATGCAACAAATGGACTGACCGCAAGGATATTTCCCTCAGGAATTCTTGTTAAGTGCGTCCACCATGACAGTGTTGATTGACCATCTTCAAGGGGGGTATCAAATGGATACTGACCACGTGCGTAACGTTCAAATTGCCGGAGGAATGATTGCTGAGCCTCACGACCAGTTAGTTTTTTGAGAATCGGGTTCTCTTTTGACTTCCACTCCCCCTCAAGAAGACCCTTCAAGAACACGAGTACGCAACAGAAGACTGTGTAGTTTTGGATGGGAGGACCAGACGAAATCGGAAGACAAAGTCTTTGCGCTTTGTGCGGGAAGAACAAATGTGAGGGCAAGAGGGTTCAAGTTCTTTTGAAATAATTTGCTATTGACATAACCTGTAATACTTATTAGCATCGCAACCGAGACAGTATTATTGTGCTTACGAGGGTGCAAATAGAGAGCGGAGATGGGAGCATCAGTTGGATCCTCAGACAAGGCTTCACGGAATCGAGAGTTGAAGATTGCACGAATCTGACCAGACTCTTCTGACGAAAATGGATTGTTGTCACTGTCAAAGATTCGTTTTAGCGTAGCACCTATTGCAAAGTAGTACAAGCCAATGTCCGACAAATCAGTCTGTGATGACTCGAGACAAGCAATTGACTTTGCAATTGGAGCGACAATGTCAGTGTAGCGAGTAATATGAGACTCAAATTCCAAGGAACGAGGTGAGTTGCTCATGAGGAGGCCAGTGAGTTGCGACTTGTGAGGTGGGAACTTTACTTGACGAGCATCGACAATCTGGCGGAGTGCGGGGAAACAGCGCTTGAGTGACAGTGGCCGAAATGCAAACGGTTGCAAAGCGAGTCTTCCCTATGCCTTCCAGACCACGCTCAATATTCATTGACTTGTGTGCTTTGTTCAGAGCATCAGCGCCCGCATGAGATTTTCGGAAGTAGGTGATTATTGATCGAAGATATTTGATCATCTGTCCATCAAAGCTAGTATGAAAATCAGATCACATATGACAAGACTGGACACGTACAACCCGAAAACATGGCCAACTGCGTGATATCCTTACAGAGAAGATTGAGGTGGTGGCAGATATCAGGAACTTGGATAAGAGTTTTGATTTCCGCACATAAAAGCTGTCGAGCGACACGTGTGTTGCCTGTGTTGTCGGACGTGACACCTGCAAAATGATTACGCCCGACAAGGTCGATTGCCTTCAGGACCATCCGGGTGATGAACTGGCCTGTGTGCGATTCATCAGAGCACTCCTCGCCTCGAATTAGGAAGCTCCGTCCATCTGGTGTTGTGAAGTAAATAGTGTATACGGCCTGTTGGCGTTTCGTCCCTCCTCCATCAAATGAGACCGTCAAGTTAAAGTTCAACTTGAGAAAGTTGATGACTAGCTCTTGTACATGCGCAGCCTCCATTGGGATGTGGGTATCGGCAATGACTGAGCCTGACTTTGGATGATAAGCTTTATTAGCAATTGTGAAGAGATCCTTCCATTCCTGATAATCTGCGATGTATGGTGGGAGGGCTGCAGCGCAGATAAGTTTAACAATGGCAAGGTCCATATGAAGACCTAGAATCTTCCGTCCTTCATTCATGAAGTCTAGCTCAATTTTTGTAGGCTTCTTCAGCACGATTCCACCTGTCTGCTCTCCCCCTGGAGCAGGAGTAGGTGACGACAATTGCACCTGTGATCCGCTTGCCTTTAAAGTAGTTTCAAGCTTCGCACCGGCACTCTCACGACTCATGCATTGACTGGCGGCCTGACGAAGTTTATCATCCATTTTGCTGCAAGTAGCGGCATGCCTGAGGCAACGGGCGAGGTTTTGTGGATACCCAAGACTATAGTCGCAGCCTTTGCCTAGACAACCGAAAACGCTGGTCCCTTGCACCATGTTTCGTCGGATCAGGGTAATATGCCTCGAAGGTATCATCAAGGACACTTGTCCGTGGCCACCCCGCAGATCGGCCCACTTTGACCTTCTTTGGTGGGGCAGCCTTTGCCTGCATGTCGTTGTTTGACCTGCTTGCGCCAAGCTTTGATTACATGTTAGTTAGGAATCATCACGAGTGAGTTTTGAGCCTTACCAGTGTGCTGAGTGGGCGCTTTTTAGTTTTAGAGCCCTTAACAACGACGGACTGTGTCTTGAATATCGACTTGCTGATAGGTTGTCCCACGACGCTGTCGCTGTCGCTGTCGTCAGGCCAATCAGCTGTGCTCTGATACTCTGACCCAGAGTCAGCTGCATGAAAATTATGAGGTGGCAGCGGGATTGGTAAGAAGACTTCTCCAGATTTTACCTGTTGTAAGTAGGGTTAGATCACCGACTGCAAGATTACATACTAGTTGATACTTACGGATAATGTGTGCAGGTGGGCATCAATGACGGCCACACCAATCTGCATACGCGCGGCATCTAGTGCATCGTGAGTCAATACAAGGAGAGAATGAGCTTGCGGAAGAAAGTGGTGGGCGATGGCATTGATGGTGAGTATGCCACATGAATACTGATCTTGTTGGTGAGTGCAGGCAAGGGCTTCCCATTTCAATGATGTCGGTGTGTGCAATCCAAGCCACCACTCAACTGCATGACGGATCGAGTCTGGTGCTTCATGTCCGAATGAGTCTCCGAAGTAAATTGTGTGACGTGAGCCATCGATAACAAGAGACAGCCAATGGTTGGAGTGGACAAAACAAGCCATTCCAACAGTCTTTACACCATTGGCTACATCCTGCCCAATCTGACGAAGGTGCAAACAATCATCTGCGCTGAAATAGTCTCGCTGGTGGCACAACTCGAAGATAGTTTTAAGTTTATTGATGAAGTACGTTTGAAGGATGTCGGGAAATGGGGCGAGAACATCACTACTTTTGATCTGCCGATGAATGAGTTCAAGAGCAAAATTAATGTTATTGTCGCAGAGCCAGCCCTGCGAGGCGAATTGTGCCAGGTTGTGTATAGGCGAGTAGTCCATGAAGCCGCAAACATCACCCTGCCAAGGAAGCATTGACAACTGCATTTGGAAGACGGATGCAACTGAGCGACTGGGCTCCGGGCCGCGTGACTGTTGCTCTACAAAACGACATGCAGCTGTTACAGTCAAGTATGCCCCTATTCATTTTCTTCCTCTTACATCATTGTATTACATCACGATCACATCTTGCCGTCGCTAGATGATCTATTCTTGTTATCTTTGACTCGCTTTATCTCTGACTTGTCTTATCTCTGACTTGTCTTATCTCTGACTTGTCCTATGACCTCATCATACCGGCCCTAAAGTCATTACCATTTACTATATAAACTCGTCCTGTACTATGTAGTTCTTCACTTAAATCTTACTAGGTTTTACCTGGAACTTCCTTCGCTTAAGACCTCCAATCTTAAGTCGTATAGAACTTGATTCAAGTCGAGGACACTCTCCTAGCCTTGTCTTAGAACAACCGAACTTTGGTATACGCCGAAGCCTTGAAATGACCTTGGCCGATTACTCTTATCGAGTAGCCATACGTCTGAACTATCCTAGTTCGTAACAGCAGCTTGCCATTTCATTAATGGGGGGATAATATCTTTTGCGACTTTGTCCCAAAATGCAAGTAGCCAGAAGGGGTATCTATAAGGTGAGTCGGTGTGAGCATAAATAACAGAGCATTTACCAGTGCCCCCGGGCCTCTGGCGCCATGTGAATGAGTGCCGTAACGATTGACTCCGTTGGGATTGGTAATGAAGATAGGAGAGCGTGACCAGTTGGGATGGTGTGTGGGGGTTCCAAGCAGAAGTATTGCTCAATGTTTGGCAGGTTGGCCTGAGGGATGGAAGTGACAGATGGAATGGCAAATTTGATGAATGCAGAGATGGGAAGGTCTGAGGGAGGGAAAAGTGTTGCAGTCAGGGACTCCGGAATGTCGGAGTACATCGGTGTCCCAGATCTATAATCACTGGGATGCCCAGCATCGTCGTGCAGCTCGATGACATCCATAAGGGTGATGTCTTGCATGGGTTGAAAATTTGAAAGGACTCAGGACCTAAGGATTATCATTGAATGCGCGGGCTTGCACCAATTAGAACATTTGAAATAACTATATGGTAACTAGTTCATTATATGTCAGTAGAATTGAGCCTCCCGACACGATTCCTGACCTGATTGACGGTGTACCTCTGATATATGACGCACAGGCAGCCATCAGGAGTTCTTAGCATTATTAGCATGGTAATTTCTGGGATCGAATTATTAGCGTGTTATTAGCTTGCTAATATCTCGCTAATTAGCACCTGGCTAATAAACAACGAGTTTTCTCCCTAACCCTAAAGAACGGCTCCCTACCGACTATATCGAAACCCTCAGTGACAAGGATGAGACGGATGTGTTACGCCGCTTGCCTGCTCGTGTACATCCTCACGGCTACAACCATTGTTCCACAAGTATTCCAGCTAGAAGCCATTCTTGCAACATTGAATGGCCGTGACAGCATAATTACAGCCGGTACAGGCTGCGGAAAGACCTTGTGTCTCATAATTCCTAATCTATTTCGTCCGGACACTATCAGTGTGACGATTTCACCTCTGAAACGTCTCCAGATCAGTATCAATGAGCATCGAGAGGTCCCCGTCATCCCAGGACCATCCTTGAGACATTTTCCCCTTGAGAACAGGCGCTTAGGACCAGTACTATCTCAGAAGCCGAAGTTTGAATTCAAATCATAAATAGGGCTGTCCGAGTGCAACGTGACGCTGTCCTGCAGCGGCCAGTAGAACAGAGCTGATCGCTGCCGGAGTCGACGAGCAATGTTGACACGTTCGGTATGTAATCGAGAACTTAGCAAAGACTTATCTAACTCCCGAAAAGGATTTTCAGTCATGTGATTACTCCAAAGCGCGCACTATCCAAATTCAAACCCAGATTTACCAGTCCCTCTATCGAGGGTTGTCTCATAGAGGGGCTGGTCACCAGTCTACCTATGACCCGCAGTTTGCACATTACCTAATATCGAACCCGCGAAAAATAAACACCGTAACTGTGTTGTCGTCGTCATCGTCGACGATTTGTCGTGCTTCACGATGCCGAAAGGGCTGCTCAATTTTAAAAGTTCGAGTTCACCTCCAGATCCAGGCACCGCTAAGCATCGCCAAATCTATCCTATGGAACGGGATTCGTGCCTAAACCTTATAACGTGCAGCGCCAACATTTGGTATAGTAAATTGTCTACAAGCAGTCTTCAAGCACATCCCAAACCTCACTAAACCGAGTCATTCATGTTACTAACCCTCAGCTAGCCTAACCCTTGAGATTCCTGACCCTTTGCATAGAGTATATCCAGGCAGTGCGTCACCCATGAATGAAGTTGCCGGTCTTAGTCTTAAGTCTTAAAGTTACCGGCCAGGGGCAGACCAAAGTATAGGCCGGTACTAGATTACTTTGTAGGAGACTCGAGTCTGATAGTTATCATGTTTTAATGCATCAATAATGCATTGCGCGGCTTTGTGATACACATAGTTGATGCATTACCTATCACTGGAAATCAGCAGACTTAACGCATCAACCCTACAAGGATTTGTAGAGCGTATGCTGCTTGATGTCAGGTTGTGGACGTGATGGCGATTTCGAGACAGGGAGGGGTGAATCTCCCAATGTAGCTGGCTAGCAGAGACCGTCTCCGGGACGTAGCAGCCAGAGGACTTGGGAAATGATCCCGTAGATGCGACCAAGATGT